AAGAGAAGGAACGGGAGAGGATGTCGTCCCTACGGGTGGGCGGCAGTGGCGGCCATATGGACGCCCTCAACCTCAATGATAGCAACATACCGGTGCACAACACGATCTCCCTGTCCAACAGTAGCCTACCGGCCATCGGCTCCCTGTCCGAGCTGATGGTCACCAATAACGGGCACTCCCTATACACTACCGGTGCGAACCACGGCCTCAGCCATAACAACGGCGGCGACAGTCACGCGAACACAGGCGCCGGTGGGCTGTACGGCGGCGTCGGTAGTCGGCCGACACAGCAGTCGAGTCCGCACTCGAACTTAAATTTCTTAAACTTATCGCAATTCGACGCGCAGTCCATCGGCGGTAACCACTCGTCCATCGACGACCTCCTGGGGCTGAGCGGTGGGGGCCGTGGCCTGGGATCCATTCCCCCGCTGGTGTCGCCCCTACCGCACCACTCGTCGCTCCTGTCGTCCCAACAGTCGCAGTCTCGCGGCTCGTCCGACGAGTCCTCCGAAGCCAACCATCTGTTGCTCTCGAATATCGCTAATTACGCGTCGATGGTGTCGACCTCCGGAGCGCCGACGTCCCTGTCCTCGACGATGCCGTTCCTGTTGGACACGATTACGTCGCCTCAGCCCTCGTCCATCTGTTCGCTTCAGTCGTCATCCACTTTGATGTCGCGCTTTGAATCTCAGATCCGGACCATCGCTAACGACATTCAGACGACAATCCAATTGCACTTAAATGGTCTTCAGATGAGAAAAGAGCAGTTACTCAAGCAGTTGGAGCACATCAAACAGACCTACGCCACCGTACTGTCCATCGCCGCCCAGACCGACGAGTCGCTGGCCGTACCCCTCCCGCAGATCACGTTCACCCGACCGGACAGCGCGCTCTACAAAGCGGTGACGACTCTCGGCTTTCTCACGACACCCGCGCTGGCAGTCAACTGCAGCGCCACCGGTGATGGTGTCGAGGCGGCCATCGAGGGAGAGGCCACTTGTTTCACGATTACGACGAGGAATTGCTTTAATGAAGAACTGCTTATTGGTATGGATTTGGGGTTTTGTTTAGTCATATAATTGTCTTGTTTTGCTAATTGTTTGTCTGTTTTGTTGGCAACTAATAGGTGGCGAACACCTGGACATCGAAGTACTGGTGACGGACCCGAACTCGATGTCGTCCTCCATAACGATACCGCACTCGCTGTTAGACCACAACAACGGCAAGTATACGGTGACGTATACTATCCCCCGGGGGCTCAAGTTGGGTCAGGTGCACGTGTCGGTGTCGGTGAACGGCCTGCCCATCACCGGCAGTCCCTTTGTGGTGAGCATAGAGAGCCAACGCGTGCGGAACGCCTGGAAACGGATCGCCACCTTCGGGACGGAGGGCTCACAGATCGGACAGTTCTGTAGGCCGTGGGGAGTGGCGATCGTACGGCTGCCCAATAAGGAGGTGCACCCGTTCGACCACATGTCCAACAGTAGGCGCTCGCCGGGCGCCGGTAGGGAGTACTTGATAGCGGTGGCCGACCGCAGCAATAACCGCATACAACTGCTCAAACTGTCGCTGAGTTCGGCGATGGCGTCGACCTCCCATTCCTCGTCGCAAAGCAACTCCACGTCCAGTATTGGCTCCAATCTAAGCAATAATGGGTTCGGCGCTCACGGTATGGGCAATGGAGGGGACGACGTGTCGATGTCGGTGCTCCACGTGTTTGGCTCCGGGCCGGGCACCCGTCCCGGACAGTTCGATAGGCCGGCCGGTATCGCCATTAACGTACAGTTGGGACACATTATAGTCGCCGATAAGGATAACCATAGGATTCAGGTTAGCATTGAATGGTTGACCCCTTTGCGAGTGATGTGAATGAGTTTTACACATCGGTTAGCGACTAATCAGTAGTTTTTATTCAATAATTACATAATTAGCCTATTATTGAACATATTTGCGGTGTATTTGTGTTGTATTTAATTATGTAATATCGAGATAATTGCCTGAAATGCATGGCATTAATAGCATTACAGAGTTCAGTGAACCCATAGCTCGCACTAAAGGTTACGAAAACAATAGCTTTTGTTGGGAACAGTGTTTGGAAAATATAATCTAAAAATAGAGTTAAATATTTAATTAATGAACAAAAAACACTCATTCACATTATAAGTAATTGGTATGAATTTGTGCGATAATTACTGTATTAATAATTAAATGGCATTTGCATTGTGCGTGTCGTATGGGGAACAGGTGTTTGACATCTCGGGCACCTATTTGTTCAAATTTGGTGAGAAGGGCTCCCGTCCCGGACAGTTCTGCTACCCGTGGGATATCGACTCGTGCGACCAGACCTCGCAGATCCTGGTGTCCGACACCCGTAACCGTCGGGTGCAGCTGTTCACGCCCTACGGCCAGTACCTGTGGCACTGCGGCCAACCCCTGGACAGCCCCCGCGGCGTGTCATTCATATCGAGCGATAAGTTCGTGATCTCGGACTTCAATAAACACCGACTCCTCGTCATCGATAAGACGAACGCGTCGTCCAAAGAGGACGTGACGCCGAAGTACATCGGCTTCGGTGAGGGCTCGGCGTGGGGTGAGTTCCTGCGCCCCCAGGGAGTGGTGAGTTCCGGTGCGACCGCCATATTCTGCGCCGATTCCCGCAATAACCGCATCTCCATCTGGAACTCCGCGACCCAGAGCTTCGACTACTTGGGCGAAGAGGTCCTGTCGCTGGACAGGCCGTCCGGGTTGGCCGTCACCGACAACCTCCTGGTTGTCGTGGATTTTGGCAATAATCGCATTCAGATCTGTCAGCGATAGTGTGGACACGGATTTCGGTCTATGATAACGATTTTAATCACTTTTTTATTATTAATTATTTGATTATTATTACGATTACTATTACTATATATAATTGTTTGGGTTTTACAAACTCTTTAATGTTTTTCACTAAAACTTTAAACACAAAAAACAAAACAAACATTTCGAGGGTTTCGGTAGTTTTAAAACGCGATTCTCTCGAAACTAATGATATAAATATATAAATGATTAGTAAATCTATGGATAAAAAACACTAAAAAACTTCTCATACGAACTGATAACCAATAATTGGTTATAAAATTTGATGATATTTACATTACGTAAACATTTTCTCTTAAAAACACTTCTTGTCTATCATTCTCTCTGTCTTTCTCTAACTCTAACTCTTATATGACTTATAAATATCTAATATAAACGCTAGAAATGCTTTGACAAACGCTGGCGACATCCCATTCCCCTTTGACCAGTCAGTCCCCGTATATAGAGTTAGGCCACAAAAGTACTTAACTATCGGTTCTCCCGTTAATCATATGACGAGAAATTGTTTAGTAATTTCTATTCATAATACTAAAGCGATTGGAAACGCGTGTATCTCAAACACACTCACCGTTTGTGTATTGTCTATGAATTTATGTCTCAATTTTCTAATTAGAAAAACAAATAGTGTTTTAACTTTTGATTCACTTTTTCTACACTCAATTACTGCCAACAAAACTAATGACAAAACGCGATATCATTTAGTGATTGTAGTGCTTGAAAGTGAGCCACCACTTGGAAAATCAAAAACTTATTACGAAAACAATCAGACCATTGATTGGCTTAAAATGAATAACTGATCAAAAAATCTAAAAAAGTTTTTAATCTCATAGCAAAACAAAATAGTGAATGAACTTTTTGACATTGAATTAAATTTTTTTATTACGAAAACAATCAGACCATTGATTGGCTTAAAATGAATAACTGATCAAAAAATCTAAAAAAGTTTTTTTTAATCTCAACATAGCGTTAGCAAAACAATAGTGAATCAACTTTTTGACATTGAATTAAATTTTTTTAGTGTGTATTTTAATGTTGACAAACACAAAACACTAAGTTATTAGTTATATATATTTAGTACATTTTTTCAATTTTTAGTATTTATAATATAATTGTGAAAATAATGATACATTTTTGTGAATTCAGTTATACCTGAATGCATTAATGCATTTAAATTAGTTACAAAATACGGTTAAAAGTTTTTTCTATTCATTACAACAATCTATTCATAATAGCAATGTTTGCGTGAGTTCACCAGGGTGATCGCGTGAAACATGAAAAACAAAGTTTAATACAAATTAATTGATTTTAAAAATACATATAATTAAAACAAAAAACAGAGATATTTGTTTCAAAACACTTTTGTGGCTTAATTCGGATAATAATGATTACAAAACACAAAAACAAGTTAATTATTAATTGGCTTTTAATTACTAATTATAAGTATAAATATGATATAAATATTGATATAATTGGATATAAACTATGGATATAAACATTTGAAAAANGATAATAATGATTACAAAACACAAAAACAAGTTAATTATTAATTGGCTTTTAATTACTAATTATAAGTATAAATATGATATATAAATATTGATATAATTGGATATAAACTATGGATATAAACATTTGAAAAAACATATTTCCAGACAATAAGTGCTTATAAGGCCTGAGATTTTTTAAATATTTGTTTTATTATTATTATTATTATTATAAATATATTGATTAGGTTTTTGAAATTACTAGAAATCATGTGAAAAACAATTTATTTACGGGTAATACATAACTGTTTTTTATATAATTTATTAATTTTTATCGATTATAATTTTAGACTTATTAATTATTATTATATACATTATTATATTATTACCAATAATCATATTACCTCAAAATTTAGACCTCATTTTATTGCAATTTATAATTACGTTTAGGTTTTACCTAAAACTAAGTTAAGACTTACCTCTCGTATTACCTCTGATATGAAAACATTACGAGTATTTTATTTGCTATAATTATATTAATTATTAATGAATATTCTCTCTCTAATCATTGTATAACTTTTTTGTAAGTTTATTCATTTGACATAATATTCTACGGGTATATTCGCGATGTATGAGAATATTCTGTGTATATGTTTGTTGTCTAGTTTTTGTTCACACAATTTAACGCATATTTTTCATTTTATTTTTGCCCCTAATTTAATGAATTAATTATACTTTCGTTTAGGTTTTTTCAATTATTTTTTTTGAATTTTTATTTTTAATTTAAGACTACTCCGAAACATTGTTTTTGAGAAATTCATGGAAAGTCAAACTGAAATGTGATTATGTATTATATAAAAATGATGATGTATATTTATATATACTTCATTGAGTGAGAATTATTTAGAGGGGAACGGGAGTGCGAGAGTGTGTATGTGTGAGTGAGTGTTTGAAAGGCTTATTAAGGCTCCGGAGTGATAGGGAAAGGGGTATAAGTAGAGGGATTTAGAAGGGTTAGCGAGGGGTAACACCTATACTATAGGTGCGAATGTATGAGTGATTGTATGATTTTGTTGATAGGGAGGGGAGGGGTAGTGATGAGAGTGAGAGACTGTTACAGCCGTTGTTACGATGAGTGAGTTTAACGATTGTTATGATAATTATGATATGAATTGGATTTTCAAAAAAATCCGATTTTAAAAGACAGAGTAAATAATGATATTATTTATTTGGTGTGTAATAAATGTCGGCTCGAAATAAGCAAAAGCAAAAGAGTTTGTTGTGAACACAAAAACACTAAAAAATTAATTAAATTTCTAAAAATTATGTATCAAGTAACTTATATGCGATTTGCGTTTTTTAGTAACTTATGACAATTAATTCAGTTTTCTCAAACAAAACTTTAAAAAGTATAATATACCAAGTGAATTTTAGGATTTTAACATTTCTATATATATTTGATTGATGATACAATTGTTTGTTTTTTCAATATTGAAAACTTTAAATTATATAATGATATAACTTTCTACTGTCACTTAAATTAAACCTATTATTCTAATGATTGATTATTATTGTTAGACAAATTACCGGTAATTATTTATCTAATGGCCGACTATTATGTGTATTGAGAAAAAAATGTGTAATTTTTTTCTCGTTTGCGTTACAAATCTCTTAAAAATCTGTGAATACTTTGCGTGTAATGTGTTGGCCATTAAATAACGTGAATGTACTGTAATTTTAAGACATATAATTACTATCTTATTGACTGTATTTGACGGATAATGACTGCAATTTTTATTAATTATTACTATAATAATAAGTCTTACGAAACAAAATAATTTAAATTCAAACAAAAAAATTAATAAAAAGTTTTGATTTAAAAAAGATGTGTGTTGTTATTTATTTATTTCATATTAGCGCCTGAGCTACCATTCCCTTATCTATTAATGGGTATTTAGGATTAACTAAATCTCATATATTGTGTAATATAGAGAAAATGTTAATTTTGTATAAGATTTAAGAAATTGATTTATTTTTACTCAAAATCCAAATTCAATCGTATTGTGTATATGTTGTGGACAGTTGTCTCGACAGATGGAAGTCCATGGAATGTCCGTTGGATACCATTCCCTAGGAAAGTAAGTTTACGCTATCGATTGGATACAGATTTTAAATTGTAATCATAGATAGAAAACTTTTGTTTCTATTATCATATATTATATTAAAATTTTGCGATAAATAAGTGTTGTTTCGCAGCATTTTTAGCGCTATTTTCGCGCTATAAATGAATTCATAGACAAAATCCCCGGAAAAACCTCTTATATAAGGAGAGAATGCATTAAAATGTATGAGAATTTTAAATCAAATTTCCAAATATTTCATAATTTTATTATATTTATATATTTTGCTGTGCACTCAATATTCTGTGTGTTATGTGTACTTCCAGTTGTTGTCAAGTCCTTTGCAGTGGATATTGTGAAGGGAAAGGGATGCCAATGGGAAGGGAATTGTGTGCACACAGAGTGCGAGAGAGAGAGAGAGAGAGACTGAGAGGTGATTGTAAATATGATTATAGAAAATGATGGAAATGAACAAAACTGGCGGTAATAAAGTTGTTAACGAAAATGTGATTTGGGATTTGTATCCATACATACATACATAACACACACACCAGTCCTCCTAATCATAGCCAACATCTCTCGCATAGTCTAACGGCGCTAACCATTGCGTATCACCAGAGCTGAGGTTTTGACGAAATAAAACCCATTAAATACTTTATATACGGAATCCTATGTGTAATGTTTGACAACAAATATATTATACAGAAATATATTCCCATTTCATAGGGACTCGACTTTTCCATACTTATTGTCTGTATATATACAGAGTATCTGTGATTCACTGACTTTTGTTATTCCCGACTACCGGTGCACTCATAGAAAGGCAAATCATAGCCGCACTTAATATTCTGTCTCATTGTTTACGTGATTAGAATACGTAAGACATTGAAAGGGGGAGAGCACCGGTATGTTGGAAACAATGAGCAAATCTTTAATGATTTGAATAATTCTTGCGCTCAGAATAGAGCCGATTCTGTGTTTGTCTGAGAATCGGGTGAATCGTGTCGTGTCTCACAAACTGCTGGTGCGCTCCCGATCTCTCGCATCACTTCTTCGGGCACTCACAGCACTGGTAGCACATCGTAGGGCTGGTAGTCTCGCAGTGTATACATAGGCATTCTGTGTGTCATTTGTGTAGTGCACACACATTTCGATGGCAAACTCGACGGCACTCCCGACAATCATGTCTTACTAGTGTGTGAGGGCACAGACCTAATGGTAAGGCTGTTGTTTGCACTCGAAATCAATGTTTTGCTACCGTTTTGCTCATCAATCGACTCCATCGCTGCTATTATTGGTCTCCGAAATGCCTTTTCTTTGTAATAGAGATTGTGTTTGTATTTAGAAGTTATCATTCAGTTTGCAATTCACGGATTCATTTGGATTTCTCTCTGCAACTAAACTATAAAACTGTTTGTTTTGTCCACAAATCGACTCCGGAGTCCAAACACATAGGAATATATTTCGTCTCTCTCTCTCTCTCTCTCTCTCGCTCGCTCGCTCTCTCGCTCTCTCGTGATTTAATTCTCGATTCTTTACCGTATTTTCAGTTCAAATATTGGCATAAATGAGAATAAACTCTATTTTTCCATAATTTACTGAACATTCAAAAGTATATTCAGAGAAATAACATTAAAATGATTTTTTTGGTGAATGAAATTCAAATATTTATTATTTGACTAAACATTTCGTTTGCATTAAAAAAGTATACATGTATATTTATAAAAATTCATTGCTATTCAGCATATAAATTGAATAAGTATTACATTAAGCAAAATGTTTAAACAAATATTCATTTTGATAAAATACAAGTTTTGTTATTAATTATAAAAACTAATATTTGGTAAAGTTGCCAGTATCTTATTATAGGTTAGAGTAAATGTTGTAAACTAGTATTTTACACATAAATGCACTGTTTATTTGCCAAACAATTTGATTAAAAGATGTTACAAAGTGTCGATTCAGTATAAAACTGGCAAAACTCATAACATTGGCATAAATATAGCAAACATTTTGCATATTTTGATTAAATGCACCAAATTAGTTTCATACATAAAAAGTGTGAATATTTTAACCAATTTTTCATTTCTAGTAATATTTTCCCGTAAAATACAATCTCTTGTATTAACACACGAGTGGTCAGAGGAGAGAGAGAGAGAGAGAGAGAGAGAGAGAGAGAGAGAATTACATGAAATTTGCAAATACATTACATGGGGAACAGGTGTTACACATAAAACAAAGCGTTTCATAAAATTTTAATATAAATTTAAACAACAGTATAATAAAAGTGAGACTAAATTTGGCCGACATTTGGCACTCGTATTACATACGGAAAAGCGATTGCACTCTAAATGTTAGCGCAATGTGTTTGTTATGTAATAGCAGTTAAAGGGAATGCCATTACTATTAAATATGATTAGTATTAAATCAAATGCTCTCTCTCTCTCTCTCTCTCTCTCTCTCTCTCTCTCTCTCTCTCTCTCTCGGGTGTATCTAATTCACCAAACATTTGGTTGTAATGCGTGTCAGTAGGAGTTGGATATATAGCTAGTGATGTATATTTGCTGTGGAATGGAAGGGGCGGACATCTGAGGGACAGTCACATATAGCACCGGGAGTTTGTGATGACTGCATGAGTGCATACAGTTTTTGTGCTCCGAAAACAATACGCTTTCTTCCGGACCATTACGTCGCCAATCGGACCAAATGGTTGGCAATGGATGCCAGGGATGGCATCTAATGCTTCAGCCATATATCTAGCCTTTAGAGAGAGCACTGTTAGCTCTATATGTCGTCTAAACAAAGCCACTGACCTATAGATTTGATTTCTTGACTCTCTCTCTCTCTCTCTCTCTCTCTCTCTCTCTCTCTCTATTCACTCGCTTTCACTCACTTATTATTTACCATTAATTAATTTAATTAAATTATTTTTAAATTTTAATACACACTTTGAATTGATTTTAATGGACAGTGTATTTGAATTGACAGTTGAATATCCAGAATATATTTATGTATTTACTATAACTTACTAAATATATACTTATTATGAAATGAACGCAGAATTTGTATCAAATTATTGGCCAAAAATCTTCATTATATATGACTTAAAGTGGTGTTTGATTTCAAATAACAATTTTAATCACATATTAGCGGGCATTTGAAATGTTTAAATAAATACTTATCGCACACTTACACACACATAGACATACCCGTGCCGTCAATCCAACGGTGCTCTCACTCTCGGCGTATGAATGTATGGAAACGTAACTAAAAATTATGGGATTTATTGTTATATGGATTTGAATGACTGAGTGAGACATTTGGGAAACAGGAGTAACTTTGGGATCAATTTGTACGGACACTAATGTGTGTCTAACTATTGACACAACACTTATTCCCAACAGCACTGGTATTATTAGGGGACTGGTAGATGTGTATAGAGAAAGAGATATATATGCGATTGTCATGTCTATGGATGACAACTCAATCGATTACATACACCGCTCTCTAAAAGTATAGATTAGTATCACTTTTTTGCTGCTACACTACCTCCCGGTGCTCTCTCTATGTGTAGGGTATCGGTGACTGCGAGCCACGTGTGGATGTCATCGAAATGAGCGTCAGCTACATGTCTGGCCACGTGTCCCATACATGTCAGGCATCGGGTGTGAGAAAACTGAGAGCAAAAGTGAGCCATAGTTTAGGTTTGCATTGAAGTGATGACAGAATTTCTTTTCGTGAGTCGATAAACACATCGATTCTGGAGATTATTGGCATATCTTTTGCTCCCAAATAATCGTTTCGACAAATATTAGTATAAATGGAAAGTGTATTTTGGACAATAAATAATCGTAAATATTGCTCATGTAGTCAATCACCCACTCGTACGGACTACCAGTGCTTTCTGACAGACACAGAATATTCCGTGCATTTAATACCGGAAACTCTAACGCAATGTCTACTGAATAAAGTAATCTTTGTTTACAATCGGATACTATATATTGCTATTCCCAGTAATCACTGTATTCTTGTGTATTCATAGATATATGAAACATATATTATAAATAAGTTTTTAAAAAATTTATACATTCATAAAACAATGAAACTTTTAGACAATTGAATACTAGTGAGCAATATAAGTAAATAACATTAGATAAGGACTCAGTTATTGTAATGTGTGTTAGAGTTATGGAGTGACATATCATATCATTTAACACATTATGCACTAAAACGGCAACAATTTTTCATAATTTATACCATAAATTGATTATCAAATTAGAGTCACTATTGTTAATGAAATGCAAATTTTATACACATATTGAGCACATATTTGATTACAATAGATATGTTATACTGTATTTATGGACCAATGCATCCAAATAATACACAATTTTAAAAAACAAAAATGCATCCAGTCACCAGGCATGTTTATTATCAGTTAACATACATTATTATTTGTTTTGATAAACTACAATAATACAGAATTTTTATATACATTTTGATAATACTATCTCTATTTAAAAAATTATAATTATATTTTAAAACTGCCCTAATTGAAATTCAATAAAATAATCAAATACAACAATTTCAAATTCATAAAGTTTCACTAGATAATTTTGATAGCAATGTCCATAATAATAGTGTGTATTTAGGATATTTAGATTTATAGTGTATAAAATGAATACTACATGTTAGTATAGTAATATTTTTCATTATTTATTATAATAAATATCAAGCAATTTTTATTCCTATACCTTCCATAACACAAAAATTGTCTTATCGTTGGAGTAGTGGACCGGCAGTTGAGATGCAATAAAATTAAATTTACTTTTTTAACAAATGATATTCTTATCTATATATGAAACGAGAGAGAGAGAGAGAGAGAGAGAGAGAGATGAGAGAGAGAGAGAGATGAGAGAGTGTTTTGTTTGCTCTCTCGTTAAACTTGAGGTCTGTTACCAAAAGTCCATTCCCTTTGTTTGTAGATATCACTCTCTCTATTGTGTGTCTCATCTTAAGGATGGGATTCACAACACAATACGTATTGAGTGAAGAATTTGTTACAAAATAGCAGAGAGAGAGAGAGAGAGAGAGAGAGAGAGAGAGACTCAACGATATGAATATACTATTATATATATCTCGTTAAGAGTTGATGGCCATCATTATGATGTACTACTGGGCGAAAAGGCAGGCGCTAGTAGGTCTCCAGTGAATGAATGATAGGACGGTTAGCGCTATCGCTGGCGTAGGAGCACAGGGATCAAGAATGGCAGTGAAGAGTCGTATATAAGATATGATAGAAAAATGTCATAATATAATAGTCGAGTCATTACTATGAATGCGACGGACATTACAATTACTATATCGTATACGGAGAGAGTGTATGTGCGGTCCATCACTACATACTGGCCCTATTGTACTCCCGGTGCTGTTCAGTTCATACAGTGCTATAGTAATTGTGATCTTATAATAAAATAGCCATTCAATTTAAATCTTTTGAATGGATACTATTTTTTGGGACACAAAATGGATATATTTTCAGTAAAATCTATGAATATAATGAGGGTAGTTTTTGGTGAAAGTTATTATTGAATGTCTGTTAACAACACAATTGCATTCAATTATGGAAAGGCCTAACAAATTGCGGTTTCCTTTCCTTTCGCTTTCTATGACCGTTCAGCACATGTCGGGCCACTGTTTTTAGAGGAACGGGATGTCGATGAGAAATACTATGAATTCTTCACTTATTATTATACTAATTATGTCAAAGAAATCGATATTTAAAAGAAAAAAATTTATTTTTGACTTAATTATCCTAATATTGTTACAGAATATTCTTCAGATTTAGAGTAAATAATAATTATGATATAAACCTATTGATACAAGGTACAATTCCGTTTGTATTACAATTGACTAATTTGTATAACTTTATGCATTAATTTGTTTCATATGTTTATCGCACAAAATAATTTCCAGTTTAATGGAAATGCATATAAATTTTCATATCATATTCAGACACATCTATTCCCACAGCCATTGCATGTCACTGGCGATGAGCACTTGGCTATCGGTGCGATACAGACCATGAATACCACGGTATCTGCACTGGTAGGCCATAGACTGGTAGTGCGATGTGTCGGTGCTTTTATGACCGCAATTGTAATCATAACAGTGATGTGCACATCCACTTCCCAACTAATCATTTGCGCTCAAATAGGTCTAAATGCCTGGCAATACAGTAGTAGTCGTTGTGTAGACCTACTGTCCTCTGCAACCACAGGCTCTCATAATGAGTAGGCGCTGCACATCCCTTGCCATCCATACAGATATCACTCTCTCTATTGTGTGTCTCATCTTAAGGATGGGATTCACAACACAATACGTATTGAGTGAAGAATTTGTTACAAAATAGCAGAGAGAGAGAGAGATAGAGAGAGAGAGAGAGAGAGAGAGAGAGAGAGAGAGAGAGAGTCTACGAGATAGAGATAGTGGAGCTGTATTTTTTGCCTACCAGTCCCATTCATTGGATGCCACAGTCATTGTTATCTCTCGGAAAGTATTGTCTCTCCTTTTCCTTCACTTTTGAAAACCATTTATTCATTTCTATTCATGTCTTTCACCGAAAGCGCAGTTCATTTTGAATACAATATTTACATTACATTACAATTTAGTGAACAAAAAAAAGTAATTATATTTTTTGTGATGTTTTATTGTGCAAAACCATTGCTATATTATAGACCAGTATTTAATGTTAAAAGATTTTTTAATTTAAAAATTCCTTATGTTTTTTGGTTTAAATTTTAATATACGTTTAGAAAATCTAATGTAATTCTGGTTATATATTTATGTAGTGAAAAGTATTCACAGATTTTATTTAATTATAAGAATTGAGATATTTTTGTGAAGTTTATATGAATTTTAATGATTGGTATATATTTTCTACTTATTTGATCAATCAGTTTAATTATCATTAGTTTGTGATTAGTATAGCATATGAATGATATGTAGATCAAAATAAATAATAAATATATTGATAACAACTTTCTATTAGATAATCAATTATGAAATGAGAGACAACTGTTAAAATAGTGAGAGGGAAAGGGATGAGACAAATGAAAATATGAATTATGATCGAAATTAAACTCAATTCCTATGCCTTTCTCGCGACACAAATGTGAGAATATATTATATTATTAGAGAGAAAATTTTGGTCCAAAATAATGGCTCACAATATATGGTATGATATGGACTGCGAGTTGGAGTATAGCATCAGATTTGGTGACAATCGACACAAACGCAGAGATTCACTCAAATGGATATAATTTGATTACAATTGAAGCATAAATTGGATGTCGAGAGAGAGAGAGAGAGAGAGAGAGAGAGAGAGAGAGACTTCAGTGAACGAGAGCTGAGAAGACAAAAACTTTGAGATAAATTGCCGGCAATTCTAATGCATAGAAAAGTATTAGTATTTACAGTATATATAGAGTTAAAAATGATTGAAAATTTTCTCTCCTTTTTCGTCTCCTATTGTTTGACACTTTTTTGAGACAAAAATATGTTTTCTATTTGATAACAAAAAGGCTTTATTATGATTGTGTGACTAATATTTTTTGGTGACTTATATTCACTGCCACTCTCTTTGTGCCCAAACTTTGTGTCTGTTTTTTGTCACTATTTTTAATCGATAGGAAAGACTATTTAGAAACTCATGAGCTATTGAAAGATAGAGTGAATTAG